TACAGATGAGGATACTAAGGCAAACGGGGGTAAGTGACTTGTCCAGGGTCACACAGCTAGTAAGTGTCTGAGGATGGCCTCGATCTCAGGTCTTCCTGACTCCAAGTCCAGCCTTCTGCACACTATGGTGCCATCAGAGTAACAAAGATGTGTAAGAGGGAAAGGATCTTGTGGGATCAGCGTTAAGGAAGGCAGGCTTCACGGAGGCACTCACTTTAAAGGCCAATTGAGGGAGGGCATTTCAAGAATGAGGAATGGGATGATGCAAAGGCATGAAATTTTGGGGACTCAACATATTCAAGGAGCAGGCTGACCAGAGTTTACAGGTCTGATCAGAAGGAAGGCTCTGAGATGACAGCACTCAACCCTGGCAGTTCTAAGAAGAGGAATATTCATACTGCTGCTGAAACTGCAAAACAGAGTATTTTTGGATTCTGGCAGGGCCTTCAGTCACAAAAATAATAGCTAATGATCCAATAACACAAAGAGACTTATTTTAAAGTAACTAGCTATCTGTTCAACATATAACTTTCTTTTTCATTCTTTTGTCGTAAAGGAAGGCTCACTGGCAAGGAGAGGAGAGATATATTCAGAAATGAAAGAATAGAAAAATAAAACTTTAAAATTAGAAGAAGATGGTTCATTTCTGAATTAGATTAGACTCTCCTAGACTTCCAAAGGATTTACAGTAGTCAGGGAGCTAATCTTCCTTCACAAGTGACTATTATATGGCCCTAGAGTCTGAGTTGACAGCATCACTGGTCCACAGTGTTCATTTCAAGAATCTTGCATAATATACAATTAACATTAAAGATAAATTGTGTCCTAAGAATTGCCCAGCCCCACCCCTAACTCAACTTCTCTTCTTCTTCTAACTCAACAAAAATATCTTTTAAAATTACCAGTTCATCTTTCAATGCAGATAGAAGAGTGTATTTTTTTTACTTTATTTTTTTCCTCTTTTGGGGGCCTGCATTTCCTTTTGCAATTTGGCTAATATAGAGAAGTTTTGCATCACTTCACATGCATAATCTGTATCAAATTGCTTGCCTTCTCAAGGAGGGGAGATGGTGGAAGGAGGGAGAGCATTTGGAACTCAAATTTTTCAAAAATGATAATGGGAAATATTTAACAAAATAAATAAAAATATACTGAAAGAAAAAGGAAAAAAAGAAAATTACCAGTTTGTTATTATTATTGATAATGAAAAGCAGGGGCATAAGTTGATGACATCCTGGACCCTGGGTCAGAAAAACCTGAGTTCAAGTCAAGCCTCAGACACTATCTTCTCTTGGGCTGAGGCAACTCTCTAAGACTGAGTTACTAAATTACAGCTGGATAATTTATTTCCCATAATAACAAAGGGAGTTCCCATAACACGATATGACACCCATATAGCAACATAAATTTGACAAGTACTTTCACATTCTTATCCCATCTGATCTTTACAACAATCTTGTGATGTAGGAACTAGGACAAGAATTTTCCAGATTATCTGAAAGGCTCAGAGATGTTAAGAGATTAGCTCAAGGTAAAATCAAAAGTGAATAACAAACTGGAAAATTAATGCATGTTTTCTGACTTCAGAACTTATTATATATCCATTACACCATCCTATGTCATGATGTTCATTAAAAAATTTTAAGAAATGTTGGTAGAGAATATGCTCGTGAAAATCTTTCAAATATAAAAGCATGTTCAAAATAGACATTCTATATTATTGGCATTTGGCAACAGATGAAACTTGTGGTACAGAATTCTACTACATCCAGGAAATAATCACAAAATTAACATTTCATACATACACTGAGGCAGAAAATAGGTGAATACAGGTGGTTACAGATAAATGCAAAAATAATCTATCTTTTCCTCTTCTTTATTACTTTTTGGAGATTATATGATGGTCTCCCTAGAGAACCCAGAGTTAACTAAAAATTAACTGAAACAGTAACTTTAGCAAAGTTACAGAATGTAAAATAAACTCACATAAATCAAAAAGCATTTCTGTATATTACCAAGAAAATAAAGGAGGGAAAAATAGAGAATTGTAATAAAAACAATTTATAAAATATTGAGAGTCCACCTACCAAACACACTAGAACTATAGGAATATAACTACAAATCATTCATTACAGAAATAAAGCATACCTAAATAGCTAGAAAAGGAGAAGTGATTATAAGCAGTTATTAAATGCCTAGCACAGGCCAGGAATTGGGCTAAGTGCTTTACAAATATTATCTAATAATGTCCTCACAACAACCATATGAGGTAGGTACTATTATTATCATCCCCATTTTACTGTTGAAGAAACCAAGGCAAACAGAGTTAAATGACTTTGCCAGGATCACGCAGCCACTAAGTGTCTAGGGCTGGATTTGACCTCAGGTCTTCCTGACTGCAGGCCCAACACTCTAACCAAAGCATCACCTTGCTGTCTCTGGAGAAATATTAATTGTCACGGATGAAATGGGCCAATACAATAAAAATGATAATAGTGCCTAAATTAATTTGCTGGTACAGAGCATTGTCAAAGGTTTATGTCAAAGAGCTAGAAAAAATAATGAAATTATCTAGAGAAACAGAAGGCTTGCAGCCACTACATCTACATATGTAGCTACTAACAGGACTAGATCTCAAAAGTACAAAGCTGTATCATCAATACCACTTTGTAGTGTTTAAGAAACTGAGACATCAATCAGTGGAAGCAATTAGGTATACAAAATATAGAAAATATAGAATCATAAAATTAAAGTTTTTTACACAAAAGAAATTAATGTAGTTAAAATTAGAAGGGGAGGCAAGTAACAAGGAAAAGATCTTGATTTGTCAAGAGTTTTGGTTTTTCTTTTTCTGTTAATATGGGAGCATGAGAGCTAAAAACAGGGCTGCCATTTTTTTTAAAAGGTCAATGAAGTGTTTTTTTAAATGCACCTAAGAGAATAGAAGGAAGGCCAGAAGGAAACACAGACAAGCAGGACCACTTTGAAAGTTACATGTTAAATTTATTATACTCAAAAGGAAAAGCAAGTTGTACATAATAAGAAATTCAGTTTCATGTACAATTCTTTTTTTCCTTTCTATTTCATATACGCAAATACTCATTTTGCTCAATGATTCTATTAAATTGAGGGGAAAAAAATAAGCCATTTTGGTCCCCAATTCAATTCTCTAGTTTTTAACAAATAAGGTACAATAAATCTTTCAAAAATTAATAAAGGCAGAAGATTTTTAAAATTTGATGGAAAATATTTATATCAAATATGTGATAAAAATGTGATACAGAAGCTAACATAAGATCAAAGAACCAGTCCCCAATAAATAACGAGTCAAAGGATACAAAAGTTTTCAGAAGAAATATACTGTATCAACAACCACATGAAAAAATATTTCATATCACTAAAATGAAAAATACGAATTAAAATACAGCTGATAATTCACTTCACACCCATCAAATTAACAAAGCGTTAGATTGGAATAAAGTCAATAAGTATTTATAGCTAGCTTCTGCTATGTGCCAGACATTGTGCTGAATGCTGAAGATACAAAGACAGGCAAACAAAATACCCTTCCCTTAAGGAATTCAGTCTAAAGGGAGATTATTTAGACAGGCTAGTCACAATGGAAAGAAATCCACTAAAATCTTTCTCTGATGTCTCAACAAATTGTGGAGGTAACTGAGTTTTTGAAGGGAATGCCAGCATAAGCACTACTATGTCCTAACAAGATTGAAGTCTTCCATGTACACTCAGCAACAAACTATGTCATTCATCTGAGGACCAACCAAGTAAGCTGGGAGAGGTTCATCACCTGTAAGGAGGTCACCAGGTAATAAATATCTTCAGGGCCAGAAACTCAACAAGATTAAAGTTTGAAGGAGTTAAAATTTACAACAGTAGAGATATAAAAATGGATGAAACATCAGATCCTTTAAGCAGTAAAGATGTATGTGAGTACCTCAGTTTCTTCAACTACAATAACAGCAGCTGTAGTGAGATTAAAATGAGATAATATTCAAAAAGCACATTGTGCTGTTGAATTTGAAGTGGTACCTTGGCTAGTTCTTTTTGCAAATAAATTGGAAATCAGTAAGATAAATATTATTAACAGGTAATTTCAAACTAGTTTTCTTTAATAATATAAAAACTATATTTATATAGATTATAAAGTTCACAAAACATTTCCTCACAACAACCTTGTAAATAAGATAATGCAAGTATCATTACTCTCACTTTACAAATGAGCAAAAGGACTCAAAGATTAAGTGGTTTCCCTAGAGTTTTCAAATTGTTAAGTATTTGAGTCAAAATTTTAACTCAAATCTCCTGACTTCAAGTTCAACATTCTTAATATTACACTATTATATATGGAACTTCACTAAAAAAGTAATTTTCAGAAATGTATTTATCAAAATTCCAGAATCAATATGGACCTACAAACAAAAATGATTAAGCCACATTGGTTTATGACATTATTGAATCATTAAGCTCTTACACGGGGAAAAACAGAAAATTCCAATGCCGAATGTACTCAGTGATACACTATCCTGTTTTGATGGGGCCAGTGACAATTCCAAGGTAGCGCAGCTTCAGTCTTGGTCTTGGTGAAAATCGATACTGGGGTAAGGCTAGTATTTCCATCTGCACATTAGGTAAGTAAAGGGAAAATGGCTCAATGCTCTCTAGCACAGGATTAACAAAGAGTACCAACCAAAATGATTTACTGCACACTACTGATCATTAAAACAACACAAGAAATAAAGAGCAAGTACTTGGTAAACACAAAATGGTCAATTCTGAATTTCAATGAATCTGTCTGCATTCCTATTATGTAAAACAATGATAACAGGGAGAGTTACTAATAAGCATTACATAAAATACATAATATTACATAAACATTAAATTAATTTCAATTATTATAGGTATAAAACTCTAAAAGAAGTTTAAAGGTTATTTAATAAATGAATTTTTAATGTAAATTATTTTCAAAATGGGCTTCTTACCTTTTCCAGGACTGAGGTTTTGGTCTATAAAAACCTTTAGCTCTCCATTTGCTTCAATTAGGCCGGCCTATAAAAGAAGATAAAAGTGTGTATTTACTACCTACAAAAGTTACAAAGTTAAAGGATATGACATCTTACTAAACCAAGATAAATATAAAAACATTAAAATTCAACATAATCATTTGATTTTCAAAGAACTTCAGTGAATCACTATTTTGCAAAAATTTTCTTAAATTCACATAACTCATTAGAAAACTCAAAGTAAACAAAAAAAAATCAATGCATATTTATTGTAAGCTTACTATATCGCCAGAACTATGCTGGCACTAAGGAGGATACAGCTTGTTGAACATCATCAATAACAAAATAATACTACCTGAAAATTACCGCTTTTAAGAATGTGGTTTTTATTAACCAACTAAAGTGAATTTCAAACAGTTTAAAGAATAAGCAATATATTTATGTTCAAATTCAACAAATATTTATTATCTACTGTGGACACAGCAAATTGCTAGAGATTAGAAACGACAAATTGACATAAGACCTGATACTCATTCTCACTGAGTTTATATATTAGTAAAGGGATTTTGGTTGTTCAGTCATTCAACTGTATCTGACTCCCTGTGACCCCGTGGACCAGAGCTTGCCAGGCCCTTCATCCTCCACTATCTCTCAAAGTCTGTCCAAGCTCATGTTCACTATTTCCATGACACTATCTATCCATCTCATCCTCTGCCGTCCCTTTCTCCTTTTGCTTTCAATCTTTCCCAGCACGAGGATCTTTTCCAATGAGTCCTGTATTCTCATTATGTGGCTAAAGTAGCTAAGATTCAGATTCGACCTTGCAGTGAATAGTCTGAAATAATTTGTTTAAGTATTGACTAGTCTGAGCTCCTCATTGTCCAAGCGATTTTCAAGTCTTCTCTAGCACCACAATTTGAAAGCATCAATTCTGTGGCTCTCAGCTTTCCTTACAGTCCAACTCACAGCCATACAGAGCTTCTGGAAAAACCATGGCTTTAACTACACAAACCTTTGTTGGCAAAGTGATATCTTTGTTTTTTAGTATGCTGTCCAGATTTGCCATAGCTTCCCTTCCAAGAAGTATATTTTAATTTCACGGCTGCAGTCACCATCTGCAGTGACCTTTGAGCCCAAGAATATTAAATCTGACACTGCTGTCATTTCTTCTCTGTCTTTGCCAGGAAGTGATGGGCCCAGATGCCATGATCTTAGTTTTTGTTTTTTTATGTAAAAGCTTGAAGCCATCTTACACTCTCCTCTTTCACCATCATCAAGAGGCTTCTTAATTCTTCTTCACTGTCTCCCACCAGAATGGTATCATCTGAATGTCTCAGATGGTTGCTATTTCTTCCGGCAACCTTGATTCTGGCTTTTAATTTGTCCAGCCTGGCATTTCACATGATGTACTCTGCTTATGAGTTAAATAAAGTGACAATATACAGCCTTGTCATACTCCTTTTCCAATCTTAAACCAATCAGTTGTTCCATATTCAGTGCTAACTATTGCTTCTTGGCCTGCATATAAGTTTCTCAGGAGACAAGTAAGATGATCTGGTACTCCCATCTCTTTTAGGACTTGCCACATTTTGTTGTGATTCACATAGGCAAAAGCTTTAGTGTAGATGTTTTTGTTTTGTTTTGTTTTGTTTTTTCTGGAACTCCCTTGCTTTCTCCATAATCCAGCAAAAGTTTGCAATTTGATCTCTATTTCCTCTGCCCCTTTGAAAATCAGCCTGCTCCTTATGGTAATTCTTGGCTAACATATTACTGAAGCCTAGATTGCAGAATCTTATGTATAACCTAGCTGGTGTGTGAAATGAGTGCAAAATGTTCAGTAACCTGAACATTCTTTGTCATTGTCCTTCTTTAGGATTGAGACGTAAACTGATTTCTTTCAATCCAGTGGCTGCTGTTGAATTTTCTAAATTTGCTGGCATATTGACTGCAGCCCTATAACAACATCATCTTTTAAGATTTTAAATAGCTCAGTAGGAATTCCATGATCTCCACTAGCCTTATTGTAAGCAATACTTCCTAAGGCCCACTTGACTTCATTCTCCAGAATGTCTGGCTCTAGATCTGGAACCACAGCATCCCCATTATCAGTGATGTTAAGATCTTTTTTATACAGTTTTTCTGTGTATTCCTACCACCTCTTCTTAATCTCTTCTACTTCTGTTAAGTCCCTACCATTTTTGTCCTTTATCACGCCCATTTTTTGCATGAAACATTTGTTCCTAAAGAGTTTTCTTGTCTTTGCCGTTCTATTGTTTTCTTCTATTTCTTTGCATTGATCATATATGAAAACTTTCTTATCTCTCCTTGCTATTCTCTGGAATTCTGTATTCACTTGAGAATATCTTTCCCTGTCTCCTTTCCTTTTCCCTTTCCTTCCTTCTCAGCTATCTGTATAGGCCTCAGTGGAAAGCCATTTTGCTTTCTTGCTCTTTTTTTTTTTGGCTGCCTCCTGAATAATATTGCAAAAACCTCTGTCCATGGTCCTTCAGGCATTCTATCTACCAAATCCAATCCCTTAAATCTGCTCATCACTTTTGTTTCATATTCATAAGAGATGTTATTTAGCTCATACCGAATTAAGTCTGAATTTTGCAATAAGAACCTCATGATCTGAGCCACACTCCAGATCCTAATTTAACTGACTGTATAAAGCTTCTCCACCTATGGCTACAAAGAGATAATTTGTTGGTCATAGCAAACACTCTTTTTCAACAACCCAAAAGCTGACTCCAGACATGAACATCACCAGATGGTCAATATCGCAATCAGTGGGGGATATGACTTATCAAAAACAAAGAGTAAGAATTCTAACAGAGATAAAAAGAATTTGAAATAATGTAGAAATAATACAAAAATAAGTTAAATCAGAGGGGTACAAAACAAAAGCTTTGGTAAAAGAAAAAAAAATTAGGGAAGGCTTCATTAAGGAGGCAGCACTTAAATTGGGCTTAAAAGCTGGGCAAAAGGAGGGACAGGGTCAAAAGAGAGAACAGAATAAACGGGGGATAAGATAGGATGAAGGGAAATACACTTAGTTTTTTCACAACAAGACTATTATGGAAGTGTTTTGCATGACTACACATCTATACACATCTATAACCTGTATCAAGATGCTTGCCTTTTCAAAGAGGGTGGGTGGGGAAGGAGGAAGGGAGAAAATTTGTAACCCAAAGTTTTAAAAACATATGTTAAAAATTAAAAAAAGTAAAAAAAAAAGCTGGGCAGAAATTTAACAGGTAAAAGAATGAGATGTCAGAGGGAGGGTAGATCAAGGGAGACAGTGGTCAGAAGCAAAATAGACTCTTAAAAAGGAGACAGGGTAAAAAGATAAGGAAAAGTATAAGAGAATTGGATAAAGGGAAACACAGTTAGCAATAATAACTGTGAAGGGGACTGAAATGAGCTCATCCAAAAAATGGAAAATGATAGTGGCATGGATTAGAAACCAGAATCCAACAACATATTATTTACAAGAAGCACTCTTGAAACAAAAAAGATACACACACTTAAAATACGGCGCTGGAGCAGAATCTATTAAGCTTCAGCTGAAATTTTAAAAGGACCCAGGTGACAATCAAGATTTCAAAAAAAGTAAAAGCAAAAATAGATGTAATTAAGAAAGATAAACAGGGGCAGCTAGGTGGCACAGTGGATAGAGCACCGGCCCTGCAGTCAGGAGTACCTGAGTTCAAATCCGGTCTCAGACTAAACACTTGACACTTACTAGCTGTGTGACCCTGGGCAAGTCACTTAACCCCAACTGCCTTTTAAAAAAAAAAGATAAACAGAAAAACTAAATTTTACCAAAAGATATCATAGACAATGAATTAATATCAATATTCAACATGTATGTACCAAAAAGCAAAGCATTCAAATTCTTAAAGGAAAAATTAAGTTACAAGAGGAAACAGAGAGTAAAATTAAGAGAAGGACAACAATTTATCCCTCTCCGACACAGATAAATCTAAGTGGAAAATAAAAAAAGAAGCAGATGAATAGAATTTTATAAAAGTTATATATGATAGACCTCTAGAGAATACTGAATAGAAATAGAAAGAGTATACCTATTTCTTTTCTTTCTTTCTTTCCTTTTTTTTTTTTTGGCTAGGCAACGGGGTTAAGTGACTTGCCCAGGGTCACACAGCTAGTAAGTGTTATGTGTCTAAGGCCAGATTTAAACTCAGGTACTCCTGAATCCACAGTCAGTGCTCTATTCACTGCACCGCCTAGCTGCCCCTAAGTATACCTATTTCAAAGTTGTGTGTAGCACTTTCACAAAAACTGACTGTGTATTAAGGCATAAAAATATCACAAACAAAATGCAGAAAAGTAGAAAGATTACGTGCATCCTTTTCTGACTTTAATGCAATAAAAATGACATTCAGCAAATGGCCTTTGAAGCAAAGACTAAAATTTAATTGTCAACTAAATAACCTAGTCCTAAATTATGAGTGAGTCAAAGAATATATTACAGAAGCAATAATTTCATTAAAAATAAGGAAAACAATGAGACAATATACAAAAATTTGTGAAATGAAGCCAAAGCACTAGCTAAATGTTTACATCACTAAAAAAGAAAAATGCAGATGCATGAACTGGACATGCAACTAAAAATTAAGAAAACCAAGAAATTCAAAACCCCAAATTAAACACCAAAACATAAATTCCAAAAATAAAAGAGATCAGCAAAACTTAAAGTTTTTTAAAACTGATCTAATAAATAAAACTAGGAGCTGGGGCAGGGGAGAAATAAAATAAACATGACTAATTTGATTTAAAAAAAAAAAGAAAATCAAATTACCAGTATGAAAAATAAAAAAGATCAACTAACAACCACTGATGATGAGATAAAAGCAATTATTAGTAGCTATTACGCCCAACTTTATGCCAGTAAAACTAATAATCTTAATGAAATGGATGAATATTTACAAAAATGTAAATTGCCCAGAACATGACACAGAATATTTAAATAACCTTATTTTAGAAAAAGATAATAAAAAAGCCATAAATTACTTCCCTGAGTGG